CAGGTGTGGTGGCTCAGGCCTATAATTCCAGCACTCTGTGAGGCCAACATGAGTGGACTGCCTGAACTCATGAGTTCGAGACCGGCCTGAGCAAGAGTGAGGCCCCATCTCTAAAAATAGCTGAGGGTTGTGGCGGTTGCCTATAGTCCCAGCTACTCATGAGGCTGAGCCAAGAGGATCATTTGAGCCTAAGAGCTGGAGGTTGCTGTGAGCTCTGATGCCAGATCACTCTACCCAGGGTGACAAAGTAACTATTTCAAAAACAAAACAAAACAAAACAAAAAAACACTAATAAGTATATTGGATCAAGAAGTTCAAATGACAAAAAAGAGAACAGGGGGCAAATGCCACCAGGTAACAGCAGGATTCCAGACAGCATACTTTTTGCTGCTGACCATAAAGCTTAGAGTAAATGTCCCTCTCTTAGTCCTGGATTTAATCTTGTCCACTGGGAATAATGCACTGCCTCATGCACAGCAAGGGCAGACTCATCAATTCTGGTAGGCAGAAGGAGCCCATATTTGGGGGAGGGACAGAGGCAGGGCATGCCCCATACACATCCCAAGTGTTATCTAGACATCATAGGTGACTAATTTTAAAAGCCATAAAAGAGGATACTCAGTCAATAATATTTTTCAATAAATATTTAACTGTTTGTATGTAATCAAAGAACTGATCAAGAGCTACTACTGACATTTCATTCACCTTAGACATTTTGGAGGAATGTTCTGGGGCTGGCCAAGAACTGATCAGCACACTAGGCATTGTCAACTTTGTGGGTCCTAAAATCCATACCACACTTCAGCTTTTTAAACTGCATGAACTCCTTTCCACTGGAATTCTTGCCATCTAGAGTTTTTCTTTTCAGCCTACTAAATGCTGAAAAGTATTTCCCTGACTGATTTATAGTGACGACTACAAACATGGTTCTTCTTATACTCTCTTTTTATATTTCATCCTCCATGTCACTGGTCCTTCCTTATGTCTAATTTTTATGAAATCCCACAGGGTTGTAAAGGGATATACATATGGTCATGTGCCACGTAACTGTTTCTGTCAGTGTTGGGAACCCAATAAGATTACAATGGAGCTGAAAAATTTTTATCACCTAGTGATACTGTGATGACCCTGACTCTGGGTAGGCCTAGGCTAATGTGTGTGTGCCTTAGTTTCTAACAAAAAAGTTCAAAAAGTAAAAAAAGCAGAACACTTTTTTAATATTAAAAAAATATATAAAAGCTTATGGAAAATGGATATAAAGAAAATATTTTTGTATAGCTGTACAATGTGTTTGTGTTTTAAGTTAAATGTTACCACCAAAGTCAAAAAGCTAAACAAACAAAAGTTCATAATATGTAGTAAAATAGTTACAGGTAAGGACCAGGTACTGAGGATTTCACCTGCAATCCCAGTACTTTGGGAGGCCAAGGTGGGAAGTTCACCTGAGGCTAGGAGTTTGAGACCAGCCTAGGCAACACAGCCAGACCCTGTCTCTT